ACTATCATATAACTTGGAACATGGACTTCACTATTGCACCACTGAAGTGTAGCGAATAGCAATATTGACTCACTCCGAGCACCAAACGTATTAACCTTTTGACTAAGCAGTCGATATACTCAAAAGCGACATGTTTGAAAGCCAAAAGATTCGCGCATGCGCGATCGAGGTAGGGTAGTGTGTACACTGGCCTTGGATAAGTAACAGTGTTCCTTTATAGATGTCACTAGCTTGATTTAAAGTCAATGTGTTTTGAATGTTAAAATACATGCTGGGTTAATCAAAATAGCTACTCCTCTACTGTCATTGGATCCCTGATTAAAGTAGATCTCACCACCCCATTGCTCTTTCCACTTTCAGGTTTGATTTTTTGAATAAATATATAACCTATAGAAATCTACAATATTAGAAAAGTCCATTTGATTTTTGAAAATGTTGATGATTTAACACTTGTGTTAATTGTGAAGTAATGTTCTCGCTTTTCATTATACTCTTGATAGTGGTCCATGGATAGTATTTATAAAGTTCAGATATATCCATACCTTTATTTTCAATGATATCATTAAAGAATCAACTGGAAGCTTTGTGCTGGTTCTTGCATTTCCCAAAGTTTGTTTCAGCAATTTTGTACATACAGAGTCCCAAACTTCTAGTACATCCATCTCTCTACTTTTTGCATTCATCAGGATGCAAGATAAATCATAATATTAAAAGGGATCTGCTCGTGTGTATAATGCTTCTGCTCTTGGATACTGGATGATTTAGATGTGATATGTCATGCCATGGGCGTTCAACTATTTGAAAGCCCATGGTCATGCCCATGGACTGAATTTCCATTCTTTACAATCGTAGACAATAGTGACTTTATTGACTCAGTTCCAAATGGCGTCTCGCTGATTAACTTTGATAACAAAAATTTCAGTCCCCTTGATATAAAGGGTGACGATTGTGATGATTCAGGCTTTGGTCAAACTACCAGTGACTTAATGGCAAAGGGCGAATATGTAACACTTTCTCATTTTAACGACAATCTCAATTCTAACTGAGACCATCATAACATTTTGTGTTAGTCTCAGATTCTAAGAACAATATTATATATATATATATGTCAATCATTCATTGCAACATTCGCAGTTTGCCATCAAATTACTGGAAGTTGACAAATCTTTTAGCTTCAATTCAAGAGGACTCATTTTCTAACTTCATGAATTATCAGTGTTTTTTCAAATCTCGTACTACCAGGGGAGGGGGACTGGTCTTTTTATTGACGGTGCACTAAAAACTAAAGAGAGACCTGGCCTTAACTGTGATGTCATAACTGTAGAAATTATTGTAGAGGGTGGAAAGCATATTGTAGTAACTAGTATCTACAAGCCTCCTTATGTCAATATTGAAGAATTCAACAATGACCCCGATATTTATTTGTCCCTTATTTCAAAAGAAAACAGCAAAGTACATTATATTGCTGGATATTTCAACATCGACCTCTTTAAATCTTTTGAACATGACCTTACAGAAAGTTTCTACAGTACAATGACTGCTTACAATCTCTTACCTGTCATTTATAAAGCAACCAGAGTAACATCCACATCTGCTATCTCAATAGATAATATTTTCACTAATGACCCTAAAATCAACTTTTGTCATCCTCCGACCACAGGGCTTCAAAATCCAGAATATATTCTTTCTTTTTAAAAGGAGGTTCGGATTCTGGATACCTGCTTAGGAGGATGACTTTTGTGGAATCATTTATAATGATATATCAGATCATTTCCCAATTTTTGTTACTTCTAATAAGCCTATCGACAAAACCAAATTTATAAAAAGATCAATAAGAAAATAAAAAGTGGAAAATATTTCAAAGTTCAAAGAACTAAGAGAATAAATAAATAAAAATAAAAAATAGCTATATATAGTGGACCTTTTGAGAAAATTTTTGCAAATCCATATTAATAGCGGTTTATGGGGATTTTCCAAAATTCAAACGTTAATACATGTATCTTTGGAACTAGGTAAAAGAAAAAGGAGGGGACTTGTTTCCCGAATGAAGTGGGGGACTTTTTTCATGCATTTCGCTTGTGTTTTACTATTTTATTGATACAAGATTGCACCATATAATCCCCAAAAATATTTCTCATTTTCACGGATTATATTATGGATAAACACCCAGGTATTTTAATTTTTCAAACTTCAGAGGGCTGAGAATCATTGAAAATCAACGCTTTTGAATGATATAAATGCTGTTTTAAATAGGCTTTATGTATGCCAATAATTTCTGAAATTGTGTAAACTGTACACATTCCTTAATCCCTAGAATTTTCTCTATGTGGAATTTTCCATAGAAATCCAATGGTACAGTTCAACGCAGATTTTGAGAAACCAGGGAAGTAAATCTTTATTACACACCTTTCGGGTTGCGATATAAACCAAAACAATCCAATACAGGTGTGTATTAAAGATTTACTTTCCTGTTAACTCAAAATCTGCTTGGAACTGTATACCATTGGCCATGTAACTCAACTATGTTGAGATTCGATCAACTTGAGTTCTTCTGAGAAAAAGAGGGTGTATTGACTTAGGCCCGGGAATATACATTGACTTAAAAGCTGCATATCATCATCATCGTTATGCATGGGTTTAGATACAAAATCCGCATCATCTTATAAGACCTAAAGTTGTTCGAGTCTCTCAAAAAGTAGATTCATGTGGGAGAGTGTATTGGTAGAATCCTTTTTCAATAGTAAGAATAGGGGTTCTAAAACTGGACACTAAAGCTTAACTAACTAACTAAAATTGTGGTGAGCTCTGATGAGCACTTTCGTTTGTTCTGGTCTTGCCCATAGCAAGCTTTTATCAAGGGGTGGGCGTTTGCCAAATGAGAACTTTTTGACAGTTTTGATTAAAGACCATGCGAAAAGTATTCAGAATGGTGGAAGACTGCATGATTTTTTTAAGAATTTCTTGCCAGGGGAGAAGCTCCCCCAGCTCTCCCTTCCCTCACCTGGCCGGGTATGCCTGCTGGGAAATGGTAAAAGATCTTTACCCTAAATGTTACTCTGATTTGAACTAGACTTTTGTACCATTTAAGCATTCACACTGAATAATTATGTTATGTCATGTTATATTTATTTCCATATTATGATTACAATAAGTAAAATAACAAAGTAAGCAAATGAGGCAAAGCGTACACTGTGTTGTAAACACCAATAAATGTGTTACATACGCCTCTGGGCGTCTAGCGGCTTGATTTTTCAATGTATATATACAAGACATAATGAAATGAATTGAAATAAAAATTGACAATTAATCAATTTCTATATGGTTGTGCATGCCCTTAGCCAGCTTTTGGTAAGAGGGGGGTTCTAAAACTTCACCCCACCCACAAATAAATTTTTACCAGGCTAAACCAACTACCCTTCGTAATGTCAAAGGTATTATTAACAAGACACCGGGGATGGCCCCGAAAATCCAGAAGGGAGAGGGCCACGGGTCTGTTAATGTGTACAAAAAAACTAATACACATATCGTCCCATTATTTCCACATCGTTACAATTGCATTTTCGCTGATATTGAGAAATCAGAGGTTGAAGTTTAGGTCTTCATAACTTTTGAGTAGAATATTTTAAAAACTTAATTTTTATTATAGGTAATCATTTGTATATGAAGGCCTTGCAGACCAAAAATCACGGATAAACAATGAATAAAACACATCTTTTTTATGGTTTCTTGTTTTTGAAATATCAAAATAACCCTGAAAAGTGAATTTTTATTCACTTTCATTTTGTTATTGTCTTGTATTCCATTATTCTGCCCATCTAATTATAAAGAATATGACTATAGTGTTCCATTTTGACTGATAAGGTTCTGGATGAGCTTGATCCATGTTTTTGCTTACAGGATTGCATTTCTCTAATTATGTTAATTATGTGAAACATATCATTTCTCATTGATTTTGAAAATAATAGGGTCTAGTTTTTCAGCATCTGCGAATTATTGCCATTTATACCCCCTGGCTACTTTTATGAGGGGGCACTATGATAATCATCAATACTTTCTGTTATATACCTTCAATCACATTCATATTTCTAGGGATTATGTATCTACCTATAATTAGTTGCTATGAAAAGTTTGATTATGATTGGTCAAGTGGTTGCCATGACAACCCAACTTAAGTGCGAAAAATTGTAAATATTTTGGATAAATCCACCAGATCTTTAAAAGGTACATGACAAAGGTAAAAAGGCCATAACAGGGTCAGTAATTGATTAAGTTAACTGAATGAACTTTTTTGTTACAAATAATGTCAAATCTGCTTTCTCTTGTTTGTACCACATGTATGGTGTCATGATATATGATCTCCTTTGTTAATTACCTGCAAAGTATACAAGTAAAAGATCGTTCCATTATTTCCACTTTGTTATAACTATTTGTCACATGATCAAAATCATGTATCTGATTGGCTCTGCTGCCTACCCAAACGGATATGACAAGGTGGGCCTAAATATTTTTTCCTCATTTTGCACTTATAACAATGTGGCACTGGATATCTCCAAAAGGAGATGAGATCCATTGAAATGGACCTCAGAAATGAATTTCTCGTGAAAAATTGAGAAAGATAGTATACTTGTCTTAAAACCTGTAAAAAGTGAGTTATAACAATGTGGAAATAATGGGACGATATAGCGATATAGATCAAATACACATAAATACATTGAAAACATAAAGAAATATCTAATATATAAAAATGTCTACAACCACAGTTTTCTTTCAATATGAAATATAACTTTTTCTGGATGATATAATAAACGTCATGACAATTAAATACTTTCCGAATATTCACGAGCTTTCAAATGTTTTGTATACCCAGGTAAGAGCCTCGTCAAATTGCCTTCAAACTGCAGTTCACTCAACTCGTAGGTGACCTATATAGACGTTTTTTGGCTATTCATTGATCCTGGCCATGATCAGATTAGATGACCTGTGTACTCAGATTATTGTTCCTAAGTCTCATGAATCGGATTGTCAAACTTCAGACTTGTTTTGGCATTGAGGTCCTGGCTGCCAGTGATGATGCCATATGGACGCAGGTGATACGTGAAGAATTCTATATGGTACATCATTTTCGGGTCAACATAGTGGAATGAAATTGCATAGTCGCTGATGTTTCCTGGACCCTACAATTATGCATTACATACAGTTCAACATGTATTTTCAACACTGAGGTACTTTTTGGTAGACAAAGATATCACTTCAAAACAGGCACAGGGCAGTTTAGATAGTGTGACTTGCGCGAAGCTCTATTACTGATTTAATGATATATTCATTTCAAACATGGCGGTCATTCGCGGTTCTGAGAGCCCTTACAAGAAATCTAGGCAGGGTAAATATTTCTGTGGAATAATAAGTAGAACTGAGTGGTCAATTTGTGTTATTTATCATTCTCAGAAGAACGCAAGATGATCGAGTCTCAACAAGTGGATTCACGTGGGATAGTATTGCTTGAATCCATTTTAATAAGAAGAACAGGGGATCTCGTTTGGAACATTTGGTTGGCTTTTTAGAACTTTTTGTTGGCTCCATATCTTTAGGTGTTTTACACGATGGTATACAAGGCGGGTACCTGTGGCAGTTAAGAGTAAATCATTTGGACAGATGAACGGACAGTGATATACCCCCACCAATAAGTGTTTGGAAGACAAATGGGTTTGGTAAAGTCTAGGTAAACATAAACTAACATATTTAGCTCCATAAGCATCGTAATTATAGTACCAAGCAGGGTAGTCTCCATTTAGATGAGTATGAGGGGTGAAACAATGGAAGCGACTACGTCCCATAGCATCTCTTGAATCTCCCGCGACGACCCCCAGATACTCCATGCACTTTCCCATCTGTACATCTTCTGAGCCACCATCTGGAGGACAATGTGTTGCATTTTTCAATCCTTTCTCAGCAAATCGTTTTAAGGCTTCGTGAGATAACACATAACCTCCACCACCGCTGAAATAACCTTGTTTTACATTTGTTTTAAACTTATGTCCAAAGAATATAGGATCTGTCCGTTTATAAGCTGATAGTAAATATCTCAAGTTTTCTACAATCACGAACGTATCATCATCAGCTTTGAGGAACCAATCAGCTTGGTCCCTATAGTTATCCCAGCAGTATTTGAATGACTGCATTGTTTTAGCAGTTAAATGTCCCCTGCCTTCAGTTGTATTAACCCCCACAGTTGGGAAATCATTATTTGTCTCAGAGCTAATGAAGATAACGATATTACAGCGTTTTGCCCAGGTGGCCCTGACATGCTGAGCCTTACTTTTCAGATTCTTTGGACTAGTCATGATCCAGCAAAGTACACGTACTGTCTTATATAGTGTCTCTGCTGAAGTGATGTTATCTGAAAAATAACAGACACATGACTATGGTTACATTGTAAGAGTAAATTTTGAAGGGAAAATTACTCACGGTAAAAATTTCCAGAGCCGCGGTAGAGGTAGTCAAATGAACTCGACCTAATGCTGTTATTTCACGTTACTTTTTGATGATTTGGATATTTGTTTTTAGATATTTTTCAACAGTATCTCAGGCCTAAAATGCGAAACGCAAACCTATTATCGCCCATCAAAATATATAGTTTTCTGTTTTCTTGCTCTTTTCACTCAATATAAAGTTTTAAATTATCATTTTTATAAATTCCTCAAATATCTTTGGTCATCAAAAAACGATAAATCACATTTAACCCATTTGGAGGTAGTTTTATATAAAAAAAGATCGCCAAAAAGGAGGGTTCATTTAATTTTAGGCATTTTTCATGCCAGATCTGTTACATGTACAGTGTACTGAAGCTTAGCTAGTTACACCCACTCACTTCTGAATATACACTTACCTCGTAGTCAATAGAAAAGAAATCGGAATTCCTAAAATTGGATCTCAGGCAATTTATCTTTTATAAGAGTCAGTGTGGGGTTTAAGTTGGATAAACGAGGCCCTTGGCTATTATTCCTATAAATCCCAGTACTCATAGATAATCTATAACATAGTTACTTTGAATATTATATCAAGAGCTTGTCAAATTTCATTTTTACAACTTGACAATGGTTGATATTTCACTTGTCAATGTTCAAGCAATTACAATTAGAATGCAGATTATATGACAGTGGGATTGTCACACAGAAAGATTTAATTAAACAAGCGAAGGAAATATATTCTTACCATGGTGACGATGTCCATCATTAAATGAAAATGGCCTTTCTGGTCCTTTGATAGAATCAATCTCTTCGTGAGTTTGTGGATTTCGGAAAGATATTCGAGAACGTGTGCCATTATGTAACGAAAAACGTGTTGCTTGTACAGTTTCTGAACGTCTGAGCTTGTTTCTTATTGACGGGTCCAGAACTATATTTCCAAAGTTTGCTGCTATGTACGAAATTATCAAACCAACTGTAAGTCCTAATATAAAATAAATCGCCAACATATATTGCTTAATCATTTTAATTGTCGATTCCTAACGATTTGCATTACATTTGTATATTTTATTCTAATCTAAATCGAAATGTTTCTATTTTTCATGAGTATATCTCATTCTCCGGAAATTATGTTTTTAACGAAGTTGTTGTAAATTAAGTTGTATGGCTCTATTCAAGATTATGTGTATTCAAAGTCAACGTTGTGATTTATACATATGAAACTCAAACAATATGTCAAAAGAATGATTTCTGTTTATTGTTTATCTTTGACACTTACATGTACATACATAATATAAGGTATATATCACGCAGCCACGTATCTCTCCCATGCTTGATGAACGTTAGCTTGAAAATTCGAAATTTCAGATCGGATAAAAATGCGTATCCTTTTCCATATAAATGAGAAATAGATGGCATCGTGGGTATTGGTAGGGCTATGGTAGGGCTGGAATACATGTAAATGTATTGCCAGAGTCACCTAATTTCTTGATTTATGAAGTACTTCCATTTGGCTAAACTTAAAACACCATTGAAATGTAACTATATGATCTTATTGACACGTGGATTGTGATTTCACATTAAAATTGTAATCCTTGTAAGAGTAAATGCACTTTTAAAGGTTTTTCAGCAGTGTGTCAATGGGGATTTAGCCCGACCCTTTTTTAGACAACTAGAAAATCATTAGAATTTGAATAAGGTGAATAATAGTGCAGACTGGTATTTTTATTAATGGTGCACTAAAAACTAAAGATAGACCTGACCTTAGATTTAACAATAACAACTGTGATGTCATAACTGTAGAAATTATTGTAGAGGGTGGAAAGAATAATATTCTAGTAACTATATTCTAGTATCTACAAGCCTCCTAATGTCAATATTGAAGAATTCAACAATGACCTCGATATTTATTTGTCCATTATTTCGAAAAAAACAACAAAGTACATTATATGGTATTGCTGGAGATTTCAACATCGACCTCTTTAAATCTTTTGAACATGACCTTACAGAAAGTTTCTATAATACAATGACTGCTTACAATCTCTTACCTGTCATTTATAAAGCAACCAGGGCAACATCCACATCTGCTACCTCAATAGATAATATTTTCACTAATGACCCTAAAATCGACTTATGTGGAATAATTTATAATGACATATCAGATCATTTCCCAATTTTTGCTACTTCTAAAAAGCTTATCAACAAAACTCAATTTATAAAAAGATCAAAAAGAAAATAAACCGTGGAAAATATTTCAAAGAACTAAGAGAATAAATAAATAAGAATAAATAAAAATAAAAAATAGCTATATATAGTGGACTTTTTGAAAAATGACACTTTTGCAAATCCATATTGATAGCGGTTTATGGGGATTTTCCAAAAATCAAACGCCGATATCTTTGGAACTAGGTAAAAGAAAAAAGGAGGGGGAGTTGTTTGTCGAATGAATTGCGGGAGTTTTTTCATGCATTTCCTTATGTTTTTCAACAAACAAAAAACATCAATACACTTTAAAATATTTTATTGATCTTAAGATTGCACCATATAATCCCCAAAAATATTTGTCATTTTCAAGGATTAAATATGGATAAACACTCGGGTATTTTAATTTTTCAAACTTCAGAGGGCTGAAGATCATTGATAATCAACGCTTTTAAATGATATAAATGCTGTTTTTAAATAGGCTTTATATATGCCAATACTTTCTCAAATTATGTAAACTGTACACATTCCTTAATCCCCAGAATTTTCTCTTTGTGGAATTTCTCAAAGAAATCCAATGGTACAGTTCAAAGCAGATTTTGAGAAACCAGGGAAGTAAATCTTTATTACACACATTTTGGGTTGCGTACTCAGAATGGTGGAAAACTGCATGATTTTGAAAGAATTTCTGGCAAGGGGAAAAGCTCCCCGAGCTCTCCCCTCCCTCACCTGGTCGGGTATGCCTGCTGGTTAATGGTTAAAGATCTTTACCCTAAATGTTACTCTGACTTGAACTAGGCTTTTGTACCATTTAAGCATTCACACTGAATAATTATGTTATGTCATGTTATATTTATTTCCATATTATGATTACAATAAGTAAAATAACAAAGTAAGCAAATGAGGCAAAGCGTACACTGTGTTGTAAACACCAATAAATGTGTTACATACGCCTCTGGGCGTCTAGCGGCTTGATTTTTCAATGTATAGGACATTATGAAATGGATTGAAATTAAAATTGACAATTAATCAATTTCTATATGGTTGTGCATGCCCGTAGCCAGCTTTTGGTAAGAGGGGGGTTCTAAAACTTCATCCCACCCACAAATACATTTTTACCAGGCTAAACCAACTACCCTTCGTAATGTCAAAGGTATTATTAACAAGACACCAGGGGTGGCCCCGAAAATCCAGAAGGGAGAGGGCCACGGGCCTGTTAATGTGTACAAAAAACTAATACACATATAGCGATAGATTAAATACACATAAATACATTGAAAACATGAAAAAATATCTAATATATAAAAATGTTTACAACCAAAGTTTTCTTTCAATATGAAATAAAACCTTTTCTGGATGATATAATATACTTCATGACAATTAAATACTTTCCGAATATTCACGAGCTTTCAAATGTTTTGTATACCCAGGTAAGAGCCTCGTCACTGCGTCAAATTGCCTTCAAACTGCAGTTCACTGAATTCGTACGTGACCTATATAGACGTTTCCTTGGCTATTCATTGATCCTGGCCATGACCAGATGACCCTGTGCACTCAGAGTATTGTTATTAAGTCTCATGAATCGGATTGTCAATCTTCAGACTTGTTTTGGCATTGAGGTCCTGGCTGCCAGTGATGATGCCATATGGACGCAGGTGATACGTGAAGAATTCTAAATGGTACATCATTTTCGGGTCAACATAGTGGAATGAAATCGCATAGTCGCTCATGTTTCCTGGACCCTACAATCATGCATTGCATACAGTTCAACATGTATTTTCAACACTGAGGTATTTTTTAGTAGACAAAGATATCACTTCAAATTTACAGGCACAGGGCAGTTTAGATAGTGTGACTTGCGTGAAGCTCTATTTACTGATTTAATGATATATTCATTTCAAACATGGCGGTCATTCGCGGTTCTGAGAGCCCTTACAAGAAATCTAGGCAGGGTACATATTTCTGTGGAATAATAAGTAGAATTGAGTGGTCATTTTGTGTTATTTATCATTCTCAGAAGAACGCAAGATGATCGAGTCTCAACAAATGGATTCATGTGGGATAGTATTGCTTGAATCCATTTTAATAAGAAGAATATATGGGATCTCGTTTGGGACATTGGGTTGGCTTTTTAGAATTTTTTGTTGGCTCTATATCTTTAGGTGTTTTATTCCTAGTTTTACACGATGGTGGCGTGTACCCATGGTAGTTAAGAGTAAATCATTTGGACAGATGAACGGACAGTAATATACCCCACACTATTATATGTGTTTGGGAGACAAATGGGTTTGGTAAAGGCTAGGTAAAACATCTACTAACATCCTTAGCTCCATAAGCATCGTATTTATAGTACCAATCAGGGTAGAAACCATTGAGATGATCTTGAGGAGTGAAACAATGGAAGCGACTACGTCCCATAGCATCTCTTGAATCTCCCGCGACGACCCCCAGATACTCCATGCACCTTCCCATCTGTACATCTTCTGAGCCACCATCTGGAGGACAATGTGTTGCATTTTGCAATCCTTTCTCAGCAAATCGTTTTAAGGCTTCGTGAGATAACACATAACCTCCACCACCGCTGAAATAACCCTGTTTTACATTTGTTTTAAACTTATGTCCAAAGAATATAGGATCTGTCCGTTTATAAGCTGATAGTAAATATCTTAGGTTTTCTACAATGACGAACGTATCATCATCAGCTTTGAGGAACCAATCAGCTTGGTCCTTATAGTTATCCCAGCAGTATTTGAATGACTGCATTGTTTTAGCAGTTAAATGTTCCCTGCCTTCAGTTGTATTAACCCCCACAGTTGGGAAATCATTATTTGTTTCAGAGCTAATGAAGATAATGATATTGCAGCGTTTTGCCCAGGTGGCCCTGACATGTTGAGCCTTACTTTTCAGATTCTGTGGACTAGTCATGATCCAGCAAAGTACACGCACTGTCTTATATAGTGTCTCTGCTGAAGTGATGTTATCTAAAAATAACAGACACATGACTATGGTTACATTGTAAGAGTAAATTTTGAAGGGAAAATTACTCATGGTAAAAATTTCCAGAGCCGCGGTAGAGGTAGTCAAATGAACTCGACCTACACTCCCCTCCATACGAGGGTATATCATAAAGTTCTCATAATATCTCTCTAATTTTTTTATTTCTCAATATATTCTGATGAATTTTTCAAAGAATGTGTAGTATACAATGCTGCATTTATCTATCAAAATAAATTTGGTATAACAGAAATATTATTTAAGAAATGGTTGCCATAGTAACCGGAAACCAAGGCACCCGGGGCAAATAAAAAATCTTGCAAGAATAGCCCCAACTAACCATGTTTAAATGCATAAGTTATTAAATAAGCTATGAAACACATCAAATTGTTAAACACCATGTATTCTTGACTGTTTTGAACTATTATAATGGTCATGATGTAAACTGTGTGATCTCATAATGGATGATTGTGATGCGTCATTAGAAGTGATGTTAGACACTACAACTGTTTTGTCAAATATTCCAAGGAAAGTTGATTTTCCACTTTAGTTCATCTTAAATAAATAATAGACCACACATAGGGTGTAATTTTATTGATATCTTTGCAACATATTTGTTTAAGATCATCTTTAGTATGAGCAAAGGATTTTTCGAACTAAACTAGACTTTTTATCAGTATGAATATTATTTTTCTGCGATCCCTGCATCTATGCCTTATCTAACTCAGTCATTTCTGATCATTAAGCTTTGATTCTCAGAGTCTGGTATCACATCTAATGAAGCATGTAAGCATCCCCTATGACATCACACAATTCACATGATCAATTTATCTTATAGTAAAAGCATTTAACAACATATTCAATATAACATTTTAATGTATTTGATAACTTATGAGAGTTTATTATGTATGTAAACAAGGTTAATAAAGCTCATTATATCTCAATTATTTTTATTTGCCCCGGGTGCCTTGATTTCCGGTTTCTATGGCAACTATTACTTATCTAATATTTCTGTTATACCAAATATTTCTTGATAGATTAATACAGTATTCTATACTGCAGATTCTATGAAAATTTCATGAGAATATGTTGAAAAATAAAAAAATTAGAGAAATATTATGAGAACTTTATGATATACCCTCGTAAGTTTGGCAACCTCAGCTCCCCCATTGAACTACGTACAGGGTGATCACTAAGTTCTGGGAATTTATCTGTCATTTCATTATTTTTCAACCAATTTACTTGAAATTTTCAAGGTAAATGGGGAATGTAATTTTGGGTTGGATAAAACAGTCTCATAGTCACCTGATGTCACAATGGATAATTATTGTTACCATAGCAACATGACGAATGGCGTAGCGGGTCAAGTAAAATAAAAATGAATTCAAATTTTGCTTGATCCAAAACTATGGTTAATAAATGCCTATTTGGTGGACATATTTCTGTGATTTTTTATATTTTTCAAATACATCTAACTTTAGTTTCTAAAGTAGCATCTTTATTGTTATATAAGAGTGTACTTTGCTCTATTTTCGTACCATTCATCAGCATCTCAAAGTCACAATCATGACCAAAAATAGCGGGAAGTTATCTTCCATTATGACTTTGCTCCTTCCCATTACTCCAGCTGCCAATAGTACTCTTGAAGAATTAGGGTTCACACAAGTTATTACTGCCCCGTATTCATCAGACAATATTCACCAGATGAAGCACTATTAGGCTTCACTACATTTTGGGTGCTAAAGCATTATATGAGAGGTCATAAGTTTGATTTCGATAAGGGACTGAATTCAACGGCTTGAGCAAATCTTCAAGGGATACCAAAGGGAGGACTGGAACACATCTTTATGGACTAAGTTTGTCAACAACGCATCTGCGTTTAGGCTAATGGAAACAACCATAAATGAAATGATCCTCTCAGCAATGAATAATACTTCTGAATAAATGACTTCAAGAGTACTGTTCTGCCTCCAGTACAAGTAGTTTGAAGCAACCATCTAGGCAAGATGAATATGTTTTGGTAGGAAATTTTCAAATTAACATCAGTCAAAATTTGCTGACCCGCGAACCACTTTTACTTATTTTGTAATTACAATAAAATAAATTGTAGATGTAATATGTATATGAAACATTGCTTGTCAATTCAGAATTATACAATGCACACTTGCTGAAAATTTCAACTCAAATGGTTGAAAAATCCTGAAATGGCAGACCAATTCCCAGAACTTAATGATCACCCTGTATTAAAGTCTATTTACCTTTGAATTTTTGTTTACTTAACCTGCGGTGAAAATACTTATACTATTGATGGAAATGTAGTTTGACTTTATATCCAATGCCTCTAATTTTTTCAATATTTTCCTCAATTAAAATAAGTCGAAAATTGATGATAAATTTGATGAATTTTTGAAAATCGACATTCCCATGGAAACTAATGGGAAATGGTAGGTTTGCCGCAAGTCATATGACAGAATATCTATCCATCCCGAGTCCTTGCAAAAAGTACGAATTAGGCAGGCAATTGAATTTGTTAACTTTATTTAACAAAAAATCGATATGTTTTTTCAGGTTCAACAAACCTATAGCAGGGTTATGGAGGGAGTGTAATGCTGTTATTTTACGTTACTTTTTGATGATTTGGATATTTGTTTTTTAGACGTTTTTCAACATTACCTTACTATCACACCAAACTAGTTCTCACTACGTTCTCGAAAACGGGCTTCAACTGTGTACGAACGGACTGGGCGTACTTAGAACCGTTTGGGGGTCTATTTACAAACGTCATCGAACGTACTCGAACGGGTAGGTCTTTTAGAACTTAGAACATGCTCAAAATGTTCTCTTGGTCGTCACGTTCTACAATTAGAACGAGTGACAACCTATTAACGACGAGCTGGACGTACTACGAACGGAACCGTTGTACTTCAATCGTACTAGGGACGTTTTAACAACGAGTTGACTGTCTGAGGACGTATTGAGAACGAGGTACAACTAATTGCAAACAGGTTAAAACTGATTAAGAACGTTTTTATCAACGAGTTAGCAAACGTATAGCTATCACACCAAGCAAGCTGCCACTGCGTTCTTCAAAACTGGTTTTAAGAACGGAATGAACGTAGCTACAACGTTCTACGGTCTGTTTACGAACGTCATGGACTTTCCCGGACGGGGAATGTGATTTAGAATTTTGAATCGATTCAAAATTCGATGGCGACCATATCGTTCTGTAATCAGGTCATGATAACCTTCTAGACTAAAGGACGCGTTATGCGACGTTCACACCGACGTGGTGCGACCTGAACGAACTGCGATTGAGATGGACGTGTTGAAGACTGTTTATGAACGAAGTAGCTAATTAATTTAGACATATTTCCCGACCATAGCCAGATTGAGCCCGTTTCACGACGTTTTCGTAGGACTGGCAAGAACGGGTAAGAACTAGAACTGTGAACTAGAACTAGAACTGTGATAGGGGGGTTAGGTCTCGAAGTTCAACAACAACAATGGTTGATATTTCACTTGTCAATGTTCAATTAATTACAATTAGAATGCAGATTATATGACAGAGGGATTGTCACATTGAAAAATTTAATTAAATAAGCGAAGGAAATACATGTATATTCTTACCATGGTGACGATGTCCATCATTAAATGAAAATGGCCTTTCTGGTCCTTTGATAGAATCAATCTCTTCGTGAGATTGTGGATTTCGGAAAGATATTCGAGAACGTGTGCCATTGTGTAACGAAAAACGTGCTGCTTGTCCAACTTCTGAACGTCTGAGCTTGTTTCTTATTGTCGGGTCCAGAACTATATTTCCAAAGTTTGCTGCTATGTACGAAATTATCAAACCAACTGTAAGTCCTAATATAAAATAAATCGCCAATATATATTGCTTAATCATTTTAATTGTCGATTCCTAACGATTTGCAATTACATTTGTATATTTTATTCTAATCTAAATCAAAATGTATCTATTTTTCATGAGTATATCTCATTCTCCGGAAATCATGTTTTTACCAAGCTAAAATGTCATGCAAAATTGACAAATGTGCAAGTAAATTAAGTTGTATGGCTCTATTCAAGACTATGTGTATTCAAAGTCAACGTTGTGATTTATACATCAAAGGAATAATTTTAGTATTGTTTATCGTTGACACATACATACATTATATAAGGTATATATCACTTAGCCACGTATCTCTTCCACGCTTGATGAACGTAAGCTTGAAAATTCGAAATTTCAGATTGGATGAAAATGTGAAGGAGCTAAAGAAGAGTTCCTCAAAATATTTTGATTACCCCTGGAAAAAAACGTCAAAGTTTAACGCACATCGCTGATGTCTTTAATGCTGAATACATCTAGGCATACTTTGATTCATATAACTCATAAAATGATGTTATTGAAGTTTCTCTATTGCTTTTAGTTTGAACCCCATTTTCATGTTAGCATAATTAAGTAAATTGAAATATATGTTGTTAAATTGTTAATCGATCGAAGCACATATATTTTGTTCAGGCAATCATTGAATTGTAATGACTCTTTCCAAAATGGTTTTGACCTCGCGTTACTAGAACAATAACGTCATTTCGAAGGGCACTATTTTCCTATATCGCCCACAGAAATGACGTTATTAGTATTATTACCACCGTTTAGGACCAGGACTGAAACAGCAAGAAAATCTTACGTACTGAAGATATCTAATTTCCCGGGGAAAATTGCCGGTCGTTAAATGCATTCTTGACCGGCTATATTGACCGCCACTATGACGTCACATATTGCTCAGGACAGGTCGATATAGTAAAATGATCGCTTCTAAACTAGCATTAAAACCCCTAGAACTTGCCCGGCAAGGTGGTAATAATACTTTTTCAAATTATGTATCGATTTGACCTGTACAGATGATGAATTGCGTGTGGGTATTTAAAGGGCACTTTGTTATCAGGTTATCGCATACAATTTCAGATGATCTATAACTTTGATTGTTGTTCTATTTTAATTGTTATATCTGTCACTGTGAAATCTAGCACTGTGAAACGTTTTATGTAGTGTAGTTATTACTAGTGTTGAAAAACTGTAAAAATGTGATGAGTGAAATAATTTTTGGAATGGTAGAAATAAGTGGAAATGTGGTATTTAAGCATCACTATATATTAGAAGTATCAATAACTAGTGCAGGGAAACATAAGACGACATTCAAATACATTCATACCCAACAAAATTGTTTGCGATAACCTACGTGCACGTGCCACTTTAATTACGTTGCACGTCATTAGTTTAACGTGCTTTTTGGCACAAACATGAAAACGTATTTCCTAGTATGACATATAGGTTCTAGAAACAGTTGAAGTTGTAAAAGCAGTCTCACAACACAAAATATCATAATATCATCAAACAAAAAGCACCGTATATTTAGAGGGAGTTCATATCTGATGAACATTTCCGAATTTTTATAAAGCCACAAAGAAACCATAGATGGCTTCCAAGATGCTGTATGCTGGGGATAACAATAATACATAACACGGACCTATCCTTCTCTAGGTATAGCAGAAATGGAAGTCCGTCCGTCCGTTGTATAATATTTCATATATTTTAAAGTTGCAAACTTATGAAAATACGTCAAACTATATCAGAACCTACGTTCCAAGGAATTCTAGTCCTACACACGTATTCTCAAAGCGGCCGACTTTTACTCCTGTTACAACGGCAGTGTAACACGTACCATCAGAATGCTAACTATTCCTTTGGTATGTTAGCTATTTGGAAATTCCAAAAGTTGCGAACTATAATGTCCATTGTTTTTGAAAATGCAAACAAAAAATGACAGCTGAACTATCTGTTATTAACCAATTGGGTCGTTAATCATGCTGGTATAAAGCCACTGGAAAAAAGCTGAATAAATAAAAATAGAATCAACTAAAGCTAGTCAGTTGTCATCCTTTCATTTGAATAAATCTGAATCTGACAAATATTGATATTAAGGTAGTTACGAAAAGATGAGTGTGGCGAGAGTTCAACGATAGGACATTAATACTTTGTGATACCACTTAAAAAGTTTTTTCTTAGTCTGCATAGAATTTAAAAGGATGAAGGATGGATGTTACCCAGTAATGCCATTTTTGATGTTCCTTGTTGAATAATAAACAAATTGTTTGACAAAAGATGTAAAATAACTGTTGCCTATGAATTTGATTTTCTCCAAGTTAATTGTATTTGTTATTAGTTATTCAATATGTGCAACAATAAAAAAGATTCTGTTTTGGAAATAATACATACTCTTAACCTCCTCAGATAAAAAGACGTCTCCCGGGCAATGTGGCACATCATTTTGCTCGATTATCAAAACATTAATAATTTTTGAAATATGATATCAAAAACATCTTTGTGTCAATTTCAAAATAAGGTGCTGTACCTGCATGGATAATAGCCTTAATGAAGTTTATCGAAATCCTACATTTTATCAAAATGAAATTTCAACGAGTGAACATGGTAAAATTAAATTCAAAACTAGCACTATGTTTTGAATTATATTTTAGCATTGCGATATTGTCATTTGGTTTTGTGTTGTGGATCCACGAAACACATCTTATTGCTGTGCTGCCAAAGATTGAAGGAACTAACAAATCACAATTGCAAGCTCGTATGAAGCAGATTTATACAAGTATATTACAAGATTCGTCAAATGAACTTGCTACTGAGGCTCTTTATTCAAATGATGTTATCGTTTCAAAGTATGTTGGGACAGATGGTGAAAAACTGTTAGATGGACTGAATGAAACCACAACAGATTTTGTTTCAACCTCAAAGATCAAACAATCACCTGAACTTTCCGGGTTCTACATTTCTGGAGCTTATACTGGTCGTCTTGGAAACCTCATGTTTGAATACGCAAGTACATTAGGAATCGCAAAATCCAACAATCTTACCATGTTGATCAGTGTGCAGAATGAACTACATAAGTATTTTAATCTTTCAGTTATGCGCACTGAGAGAGGAGTACCAGAAAAGGCAGATAACATTGGTGAGAATGGATGTTGTAGGTTTGCAAGAAATCTTATGAACATTCAACCAAAGAGGAATGTTACAGTTCACACTTACCTACAGAGTTTTAAATACTTTCAAATGATCCAAGAGGTAATACGACGAGAGTTCAGATTCCACACTAGTATCAGGGAAGCTGCAGATATGTTTATAACTAATTTTACAAAAATGGAGAAAAATGTAACTCTCGTAGGTATTCATGTTCGCCGTGGAGATATATTACTTAAGGATAAAATTGATTTCGGATATACTGTTCCAAGTACGTCATACTTTATCAACGCAATGGATTATTTTAGAATTCAGTTTTCCAATGTGAAGTTCATTGTTTGCTCAGATGATCGAAAATGGTGGGAGAAAAACATGAATTTGACGAACGTTGTGATATCCAAAGGTACGAAGCCAGAAGTAGATATGGCGATACTGAGTAAATGTGACCATGTAATAATTTCAACAGGGACCTTTGGTTGGTGGGCGGCATTCTTAGCAAATGGAATAACTATATATTATAACAATTGGCCTAGTTTTAACACGTCACTTGCTAGAGAAGTTGATCATAAGGATTATTTTATACCAGATTGGATTCCCATGGATGACAATGGATTCCGTCCAGCGTCTGTAACACTTCTTACAACTTCCAATAATTAAAGAATACTATTTAGACTGACTTCAATTTTTTTCAAAATCATCTACAAGTTCTTAGAAGTTCAAATCTGACTTTAAATTTGAGATTTGACCTATAATGAGCTTTTCAAGGTCAAAATGGTTAAAAAGGTATTTTGCGGTTTGCGTCTGTAACAAATCTATACAACTTCCAATAACTTAACAAAATTATCTACAAAATCTCAGAAGTTCAAATCTGACTTTAGATTTGAGATTCTCAAGGTCAAGAAAGGTCAGCTCTTTTTCAACTTGCTTCCAATTCACCAATTTTTTCAAAATTATCTTAGAGTTCTCAGAATTTAAAATCTAATTTCACAGTGAATTTATACAAAAGGGGAATTACACCAGAGTTCAAAGATGACATACGCTTATAATGTAAACCTGTATTGAGATGACATACATCTCTGATTGGTCAAAAGTCTACAAACAAATGATGTCATCAATGGCGGTTTCAAAATTTTCGAAATACGCTTCGAATAATATTATGTTCATTTTTGGTGTGTTAACCAATATCATAGCTTTTCATTTCACATCAAGATAAAGAAATGTGTACGAAATATGCTTATATCAATTAAAACATCCCATCGAAGTGTAGTTTTTGATAACTAGCCCCTTTTGGGGATAAATCAGTTTTAATTTTCGTATTTTTCAAACTTCGGTTTTCGCGGTATTTTTCATATTTTTGCGCGAATTTTCTTATTTTCAGCTAACGGGTTTTACCTACCTCTTCGTCATGGGTTTCCAAGGATATGGATTGTTCCTTCTCTGCTTGGTTTTCGCAGTCCAGACATTTTTCTGTGATCATGGAAACCACTTACCTTCAACAGAGTCATACACACAGTTGATGCAACTGCGACGTTTCCATAAGATTGTTGGCTCTCGTGGAATCCTTCACAAGAAATCTTCCACACCACTGCTCTTCTTATGTCTTATTCTTAGTGGTGACATCCACCCAAACCCAGGTCCTGTTAAATTCCCCTGCGGTATGTGCCAGAAAGCAGTTGCCAAGAATCATCGCGCCCTTGAATGCGATGAATGCGGCACATGGGTACACATCAAATGTGGCAATGTTTCCCCTGCTGAGTACAATGTTTTTCTTGACGCGGGCAGTTTCACCTGGATCTGTCCTGGATGTGCCCTACCTAATTTTTCCAACAGCTTCTTCAATGACTCCACTCTTTCTCATTCCTCGGTAACAAACTCCTTCAGCGCTCTCTCTGATCTTGACAATTCGTCATCATCATATGATTCTACCGAATCAGAACCACCGAGGCCGACTGCACGAAAGAGGCGAAACCAGGTTCGCCTCATGTCTATCAACTTCCGCAGTCTAATTAGTCATGAGAAGCAACTACACCTTCAACAACTAATTGAAACTCACAAGCCAGATGTCATCATAGGCTGTGAGACTCACCTGGACAACACCATCGACAGCAAATGGATATTCGGTCAAGACTACCTTAGCCCACCTCCATACAGGAAAGACCGAAAGAAAGGTGCTGGCGGTGTCCTTATCGCAGTCAAAAGTGACTTCATATCAGTCGAATATGAAGCGACAGCTGATTGCGAAATCATATGGTCCAAAGCATCTCTATCAAATGGGGACATACTGTTTGGATCCTTCTATCGTCAACCAAACAACGATACTGGTGCTTTGGACTCGCTCCAAACATCCCTCGATAAACGTTATGCTAATGGTAATACACATATGAAAAACATCTTCCTATGTGGTGACTTCAACTTACCAGACATCGATTGGGAGAATGGAACTATAAGGCCTAATTCTCAATATTCTAATGATCTTAATGAGAAGATGATTACAATAACTGATGATCATGGCCTAACCCAACTAGTCAAGGAACCAACTAGACAAAATAACATCCTTGACTTAGTATTCACTACATGCCCAAACCTCGCAGAAAGAATCTCGGTGGTTCCGGGCATGAGTGATCACGAGGCAGTCCTATGTGATATAAACCTAAAAATGAAAATTCAGAAAAAGAAGCCTCGTAAGGTCCACATATACAAGCGGGCAGAATGGACTGGACTTAAAGAGACTCTACGATCTAAGTTCAGCGAATTCAAAGAGAACTGTGAAAGTAGATCAGTTGAAGACAACTGGTCCTCCTTCAAATCTACATTAATATCGTCAATCAATGAGCATATTCCAAGTAAAACTCTAAGTGGGAAATTCAAAGTACCCTGGATTACCACCAGGATACTGAGAATGATCCGACAGAAACAAAGACGATATAATGTTGCCAAACGTTCAAATGAACCTCATCATTGGCATAAATACAAATCACTACGGAAATTAATCCATAGTGAAATTCGTAAAGAACATCAGCGCTACATCAACGATCTGCTTGACATTGATGAAAGCGAAATCATAAATGAGAATGTTCAGCACAAAGGCATTACCAAACGCTTCTGGAGCTACATAAAGTCTAAACGCAAAGATGCATCAGGTATCAGCGTGCTGCGTAACAAAGATGGCGACGAAATAACAGACGCCGCCCAGAAAGCAAACATCCTCAATGACCAATACAATTCTGTATTCACAGATGAGGATGCCACCCTACCGACAATGGTACCTAGTCAAATTCCTGAAATGCCAAATATCAAAATTTCGACAAAAGGAATTCACAAATTGCTAACTGGCCTAAATCCATCAAAAGCCACTGGACCCGATCTTATTCCGACTAGGGTCCTGAAGGAATGCAGTGACAGCATATCACCATTCCTTCAAATAATTTTTCAACAGTCTATCGATGAAGGCTTAGTGCCTATGGACTGGAAACATGCCAATGTTACTGCTATCTACAAAAAGGGACGAAGATATGAGGCTGTGAATTACAGGCCTGTATCTCTGACGTCAGTTCCATGTAAAATAATGGAACATATTATGTTCCATCATGTTATGGCCCACTTTGACCTCTATGAAATTCTAGTAAAATTCCAACATGGATTCAGGTCAAAGCACTCATGTGAAACACAACTTGTCAATACAATAGAGAATATAGCTCGGGCCCTCGACAACAATAAACAAACAGACATGTTGGTATTAGACTTTTCCAAAGCGTTTGACACGGTGGCTCACGAACGCCTCTTGCTCAAACTCGACTATTATGGAATTCGCAATAATAACTTGAACTGGTTCAGATCCTGGCTTGTGGGAAGATCACAACAGGTAGTGCTCGATGGTGAATCAAGTTCAAAAACTCCAGTAAAATCAGGAGTTCCTCAAGGAACAGTTCTTGGACCACTCTGTTTCCTTGTTTATATCAATGATATGGGCAATAACCTATCATCCTCAGCCAGTCTTAAGCTTTTTGCCGACGACAGCCTTTTATTCATGACAGTCGAAAGCAAGCAAGATGAATTAACACTACAGGAGAATCTTGATAAACTGGTCTCCTGGGCATCAACATGGCAAATGAAATTCCATCCATCAAAATGCTATGTGCTAAATATTCACAAAGGTAAATCCCCTATCATGCACAATTACACCATGCTAGGGGAAAACCTTAAGTCGGTAACACACATCCCATACCTAGGAATTGACATCACAAATAACTTACGCTGGACTACACATATTCAAACTATTGTATCCAAAGCCAATAAGGTACTTGGATTTCTCAGGCGCAACCTCCATCAATGCCCTGAAAAAGTGAAGGCTCAGGCGTATAAGTCACTAGTCCGGCCTAATTTAGAGTATGCCAGCTCGGCATGGGATCCATACCGACAAAAAGATATTGATATGTTGGAACAGGTACAGAGAAGAGCAGCCAGGTTTGTAACCAAATGTCACTCAAGGGAACCAGGCTGCGTCACCAAAGCTCTTCAAGACCTACAGTGGGAGCCACTGAAGGAGCGTCGAGAGGCTGCTAGAGTTTTCCTTTTCTACAAAGGAAAGCAGAACCTAGCAGCCATCGACGTGCCTCCATACTTCCGCCAACAGATCAATACCAACACTAGGTTGTATCATCCTTCTAAGTTCATACAACCATCAACTAGAACGGATGCATACAAATTTAGCTATTTCCCTAGGACAATAGCTAAATGGAACACCCTACCTGGTGACATCTTAGACTGTGACAGTCTAAGTAGTTTTAAATCATCATACTATGCCTATGTCAATAACTGCAATTAAATAGATGTGTTTTTAATATAGATCTATGTTTTAATGTAAAGGGTCCCCAGTGCACAGCAACAAGCCTGCACTACTGGTAAAGAGGGATGATGTCAACGCGGTAGCCTGACAGTCTCCCCAGGTAAAATGAGTTGCAAACCATAGATCTAGTTTTAAATGTTAAGGTTTTAAATTATATTCTATTCAAATTCTATCACTGTTAAATTATATATCTGCTTTATATGGGCTTATTAGCCTTTTGCGGATTATAGACATAGACATAGACATAGACATAGCCGATGAAAATTCGAACGAACGAAGGTGGTAAGCAAGAGACGTAATTATGTCTGTCATCTTTAAACTCTGGGGCCTTCCCTCCTCTTGAATTTATAGATTGAAGACTTATGGATTTGACCATTTTCTCAAGATCATCTACGGTACAAGTTCTCAGAAGTTCAATGTAAAAGGAATGTTAAAAAGGTATTTTTCAACTTGCTGCTTGAAATAGACTAGGTGCGAGTAGAAACAATCTTGATTTACGTCATTTAAGATACAAAATTCAGTCAAAGTGATGTCATATTTGAAATCTACATGTAAAAGTACATCTAGAAATATGGTTTCGAAAATTGTTTATCAACTTTGAAAATTTAATTTCTTTTGAAAATGTGACTTCTTGTTCGGGTTGATTCCCCATAGACCCCATGATACAAAATCACAAAAAGTGAAATATCTTTTCTTGTATTAGACAGATAACATTTTCTTTTACTGGACATATTTCAATTTGCATAACTATTAGATACATAATGGTTATAAGAAAATTGAACCATTAAAACAGATGTGATTTAAGTTAAAGGGAACTTTCTCCTATACCCGCCATGCTATCTGACCCGAACGAGCCACCTGGTGGTGAATCTGGTAACTACCTACTCGCATCTGCGTTATTGACCATTTGTCAAAATCATCTTCAAGTTCTCAGAAGATCAAATCTGACTTAGATATGAGATTTGGCCTATAGTGATCTTCTCGAGGTCAAAAAGGTACTAATATTTTTCAACTTGATTCAAATTGACTAATTTTGCATGAAATAATTGCTATGAATTAATGAAATCTGGAAATACATCAGAATATCATATTTTGGAAATTGCTTAAATTGGATAATTTTTCGTAATTGCTGTCGAGAGTATAATCAGTCAATTTCCTAAAGTTTAAAGCAGTGATATCTCAATGAGACTAGTTTACTAGGTTTGCTATTGACAATGTGATCAAATAATTGTTATTTGTAATAAAATATAGCTCCGATATGTAACCCTTCTAAATAGCATGTAACACGCATTACATCCTTCGCAATAGGTATTTTTTGGTATCGCAATATCACTGCTACCCACCTAGTTACACAGACGTATCGTCAGTGTATCATGGCGGAACTACTTCCGGGACTAGGTTTCGGTAAGATTTTTTTATTTCCCGATTTACACCTACTTATAAGTCACGTTATGGATAATGATTTGGCTCGAAGTTAAGGAAGATAGTCTAGTTTGAGAATGTGTCGATGGTTTGAGGTTTTATATGTTAAAGTAACACATTTACGATGTATCTAAAATCTAAAACCTCACTAGTAATAGATATGACTATATGTTGTATAAAAAGAGATTTAAAAAAAATTGTGTCTGAGAGATAAATAAAAAAGAAAAAAAACCTTGGACTAGACCGGGAATCGAACCACCGACAGCTGGTTAACAAAAGCTAAAGTGAGTCACGCGCCTTACTCCATTAGGCCACACTGGGAAGATGAATTAATTATGTAATTCTAAAGCTATGTTATGGATTTTAGAAGACAGTCGAATCAGTGCATAAGATTAATAAAAAAAATAGTCAATAATCATTTTAATAATATTTAAATATCTATTTCGGTAAATTTTTAAGTCAAAACCAGGATTAATGATGTAAATTCAGTTTTCATTTAGATAATCTATTTCCTGTTATGAGTCGCAAAAAAAACATGGCTCCAAAAAAATATTTCTTGCATCCAAATTTCAAAATGATATATATCCATGGATCAGTTATTTTTGGCACCTGAACCCATCCTAATAGAAAGGTAAGATTATTTTCTTGAAATCATATCGCTTAAATTGTCGAAATTCGGCCTAGAATCGTCAGAGAGTTACTTTAACGAAGACACAATTCACGTATTTAGTCCCTCGCTTTTGTTACATTGACGATTTGTGTATACGAGGTAACAATTTCGTATGTATGGTTAAACTATTTCAGAGAGTCAAGGATCTCCCAAATACAAATGCTACTATTGTAATAGGGGAGGGGGAAGCGCCAAAGATGTTATTATGCATACAATACAATATCATGAGGCAGAGGCAAGTACTCCATGAAACACGAGGGTCACATGTTTACAAATCACACCATTTTGGTGTTACATGTAGGCAAATAAAGACTTGGCAGGATGACAGCCTATCTCAGAGGATATTTTCTAATTTTGCATTAATACTTGACTGAACTTTTTATAATTCGATTCGACTCGTAAGGCATTCTAGTTCATAAAAGGACGAGGTAAGGTCAGAACCCAGACCCAAGGGAAAATAACTTGTGTATACGATCCCGATACAAACATTATCTAACTTAAATGTAAATATATGAACAGTGTCGTCCCTACAACACTTTGCCAATATCAAGATGTTCCCAATTTTTACAAAACCATGTAGTTTTCACCATTCTGAGCACTTTCGTATGATTTTTAGCCAAAATTGTGAAAAAATCCAAAGCTCGTATATTGGAGAGGTATCTCTGGCCATGGACATGTTTCTAAAACGTTACACGTATGTGTGTTGTCCCCGGGTGTGGTCAAACGTACACAGTTTTGCATTATTGAACATGACCATTGCAAATATCATTCTAGGGAGAACAATCCTTATCAATTATTGTGAACATACAAAGGAAAAGAGCAAGTTACAAATATTGTCTTACCATCCCGTGCATCATCAATTGTCACCTATTAATTTCAATAGTCAGAGGCATTTAAAGACAATTAGTGAATTTAGGATTCTTATTTACACAAAAATCGATCATATATCGGCTAAAGATGATTGATCATCAAAATCTTCATCAACAGTGCAAGTGAATCTGATAATTAAAAATGAATTGAAAGCATGTCTAAATGTAATCGTATGTGTACATTTCAAATATGATGATACTTTAATGAATTATAAAATAATCAATAATGCATTTGTTTGGTATAGTTGCTAGGTGAGGAGCTGTAATAGATGTTTTTCAAATACTTGACCCTCGCAAAAAGTTTCAGTAGAAATATGTTATTTTAGTGATTTTGTATGTTTTAGGTGACTTTGTAGAAAATATTTTGCAATGTGTGAAAATAATTTAAGCCAAAGAATCAATGCATTGTGGAATGACAATTCCTTTCAAGTGTTGTGTCCTAAAATTGACATTTGATGCAAGCATCTCGAGCAAATTTTAGAAAGCAACGTCCTTCAAGGAATGGTCATTCCACAATGCACTGAGTCTGAGGCTAAATCCTTAAACAGCAAACATGAAACTTACCCCACTAGTGTCCGCCATTGCAGTAGAAGTAGATGGCTCAATAAGAGCCAGTCAAAACAAATGTGATGATAGTTGTAGCAAAATAATGTAAATAAACTGCACACTCCCAATAGCGCTATCACATCAACCGCATGTTATATACTACGAGTAAATTGGGACTCCAATTTATTATTAATTGAGAATATGATGCCTGTTTTGTTTAAATATTTCGAGATGTTATGCACATATCATAATTACATAAGAATAATTAAAAGGATTTGATTCAATATCTCAGCTTCAGCTTCACATACCTCCCCCTGGGCACCTGCCAGAAATCTCCGAGATTTGATAGAAAGCTACCTCCATAGGCCCGGGAACATGTATAAAAATATCGAGGCGATTTTTATAAATATTACCGGGCGTATGGCTACGTCCTATGTTCATGACATTCCACAGATCAACTTTCTCTATAATATTATTCATTCGTCAGTGTAAGCAAACCTCTTCGTCAGTGTAATATTGGCAATATTAATGCCGATCATCAGTGTAACAAAAGCGAGGGACTAAATATGTGAAATGCGTCTTCGTTAACATATCAAACCTAAAACCATCGACACATTCTCGAACTAGACTATCTCCCATAACTTCGAGCCAAATTATAATCCACATCGTGACTTTTAAGTAGATGTAAATCGAGAAATAAAAATATCTTACCGAATTCAAATCCCGGAAGTAGTTCCGCCATGATACACTGACGATACGTCTGTGTAACTAGGTGGGTAGCAGTGAATATGCAATGTTCCACCAAGGATTTTATGCCGCTATAAAGATGGCATAAGTGTAGCTTTGCCACATTTTTATGATTACGTGATTTAAGCTATGTTAAGCCCCGGTGTAAAGCCCTAGGACCAAAGATGTATAGAAAAGGCGTTTGGATTTGCTGAGTTTACGAGCATATGCCAAAATCTCTTTGAATTGTGGTCAGTGCATACATCCCATAAGTTCATTAATAAAAAATGAGAAATGTTGAATATTGGTTTCATATCCGAATTATGATTAAAACTATCCAGCCTAATTCCTTTATGCTGCAATTTGGAGCTGTCAGGAAGCCTATAATTGGTTAAATACAGTGTGATTAGCATTATATAGTCCCAAGTCACATTGTTGATATATATTAACTGACTGATCTTCATGATGGGAGCTGTACATAAGATTCTTTTGACATTCTTCAGCGTTTGTTTGATTATTCAGGTAAGTTTTTATCCTTTTTAAAAAGTTGTGATATTGTCGTCATCTTGGGGGAGGGGGGTTGCGGTGACTCGCGTTTTGTCTGCGCATTTTAGTTTGTTTTCCATCTGGTTCAAACTCAATGTTTTTTTTGTTTTTTTAACATATTATTTATTTCCTTCATAATCAAAAAATACACAAAATATTTATTACCAATCGCCATAGGCATTCTAGGTAGTTTAAATTACAATAGAGGATTAATTACAGTATTCATAGATGGTTATTGGTAATGTGAGAGGTTGGGAGGGACTCAATGGTTCAGTGAATTAGGCATATAAACATCAGGTAAGAGGTCCAAAGATTCGTTCTCGCTACTTTTTCCGTGCTGTCTACCAGCTGAATTAAGCTTGTCCGTCCGTTCATCACTCACGGTAACATTTTGTATGTCACTGTCAATGATATTTTTTCTCATTGTTATTTTGTTTTATTTTTCCATAATAAAGCACTGTTTATGGACTTCATTTTTTCGAAATCGTTTTATCGCATGCATGTGGCGTAATGTCATGTCTTGATAAATTTATTCAAGTAACTGTACTACATAACTTATTGTACCTCCAAACTGTTGATGTGTTGTAAGTTGGTATATCAACCTCTAGCCTTTTCAAATGTCTGTTTAGTCAAATTATTTGTTGTTTACACGAACTGTTTGTATAGTACCGTGTGTAGCCAGGCACGAGGAAGACGTGTGGCAACTGCCTAACAAAGTTACAAAAATACATTTATTCTGATATACTTTCGTTCGTGTGCCACCTTCTCTAACCTGTCAACGCCTTTGGCTTCCTAAGAGTTCCTTTCCTCGTCTTCAATGGCGATACTTTTAGTTGCGCCATCGGGCAATCCTGAAGAAAAGGTGATTCAAATTGTTGACTGTACTTAGGTTTGATGACAATACGGACAACCCCTGACCAACTTTTCAAAGATTGATACTTGGATAAATAAAATGAGTTCCGAGCAATTTCAAAATGATACATAGTGAACCTTTGAACAACTTATGTATTTAGTTCACTTAGCTGTGCTATGATCAAATATATTTTTCATGGCACCATCACTTCTAATTCTGATTGTTATTTTACTGTGTGGCTATTATACCTTGGTGTCCAGGTCACAGGACATGTAAATATGTTGGATTGGATTTTAATAATCAAAAAACTTTTTATACCTGATGGTTTAAGATCTAAACATGTACAGTTGTTTTCTCTACAATTGGAATTGCATGTTCCCTCTTTTCGTTGGCATTCACAGAGACGTACGCTTTCTTGACCATCTAGAACGATTTTGTTGATCTCGAACAGTTTTGCCGCTTGGCGTGACATCAAACTCCTGGTGAACAATTTCCGCGTGTTGTTCAGATCCCTTTGGATTCCTAGTACTTCGTGGACTTTGTCGTCGATATACACGATCTTAAGACCAATCCATATCATAACGTACATGGTGGTAAAAATAAAAGCTGGTAGACCACTCATTTTAGTCCCTATTGTTTTTAGAATCGTTGTATAGAATAAGTCTATAAATTAACATTGACTTCCTTTATGTCCATGAGTTTTAAGAATTACTCAAATGCGCGTTCAACTTTCAAATCTAATATTTGATCGTGATCAAATTGAAAAACTGTTGATTTGAATGGAATTTGTACCTTTGTGAAATTAGCAGTGAAACGGCTACATGGGGTGTGACCTCTATCCATTCTAGTGCAAGGATACAAAGAATACAAGCGATTTTTTATGAAATTAGATATTAAATAGTTATGTGAATACCTTT